TAGCAGATTTTGTTAGGTGAAAATATATTTAAAAGATAAGAAGAAAACTATATTCATTACTAAAGATGGCTCCTCAACTAGTTGTGGCTTGTGGCAGCTAATCAAAGAGTTGTGACAGAGTTGTAATAGCCAATCAGAGAATTGCAACAGAGTTGTAGCTAGTTATAGCTCCCATCACTATTCATTACTAATGAAGAATTATTTTATTTTAATATAATATCATTTGAATTTACTAACATTCTAGTCATCTTCCAAAGATTGATAAATAAAATTTTCAAAAAATACATTAGAAAATTTATTATTATATATCTTGATAATGTAATTATACACTCTGAAAATTGAGAAGAATATCTAATATATTTATAAAAGCAAACTTGAAACTTTAGTCAGATAAATATATATTTAAAAAAAATTAGCTAACTTTCTTGAAATATATCATGGAAAAAAATAATATTTGTTCTAATTTAGTCAAGATAGAGAAAGTATAAGAATTTTTAATATTAATTAATATCACTTTATTAAGAAAATTTGTAGGACTTGTCTTATACTATAGAAGATTCATCAAATATTTTACAAAAATAGCAGCTTTCTTATATAAGTTATTTAAAAAGAATGAAGAATTTAAATGAACAAAAAAATAACAAAAAGCTTTTGAATTACTTAAGAAATATTTAATTTTATCACTAATTATTACTTATCTGAATTTTACAAAGTCATTTACTCTTTTTATTGATACTTCTGAATTAAAGTTAGGTACTGTACTGATATCATATAATAATAAAAAGAAGAAATATATTATTATATATATCAATAAAAGAGTAAGTAAAGAGAAAAGCAAAATATGATATAATAGAATTAGAATATCTTAGAGTAATTTGGGTAGTTAAATTATTCAGATCTTATCTGCTATTTGATATTTTATTTATATTAATCACTAACTATTTAGTATTAAAGTAATTAATTAATAAGTCAAATACTTTTAAAAGATTAGTATATTGGATAATGACTTTACATAAATATAATTTTAAAGTTAAATATAAATCTGATAGAATCTATTTAAATATTAATCCACTTTCTAGAATATCATTCACATTTAAAGAAGAAAATAATAAAATATGAATTTAAATAATTATAGATTTATATAATTATTTTAATATACTAATAATATCTAATAAATTCTCAAAGGAAAAATAAAAATGACTGCTGACAAAATTAAAGAAATATTTTATATAAAATAATAAATTATATAAAAAAAATAAACTGGATATTGATCATCTATAATTAGTTATCAAATTAATAAAAGTTGAATCAGTTTTTTATAATAATTATTCAGAGATTACATCTGAATATTTTGGAATTAAAATCACTTATAATCAAATAATAAAGAACTATTATTAGCTTCAGATATATAAAAATATAGATATATATATTAAAATTTGTGATATATATTAATAAAAAGAATAATTATGCAAGAATAATAAGATATTATTAATTCAAATAAATACATCTTTTGAAAAAATCTAGTAGAATCTCTCTTAGTAATTAGTAATAGAAATTATTATATCATAATTACCATAAACTATTTGACTAAATAAGCTGAAGCAAGATCTATTAAAAATACTTTTGCAACTTCAATTATTCTATTTTTCTATAAAGATATAATGATAAGATATGAATTTTCAAAAGAAATACTTAATAATAGAGAAATTATATTTGTTAATAAAATAATTAAAGAATTACTAGAAAAATATTAGATCAAGTATAGACTTTCTACTTCTTATCATTTTTAAGCTAATAGATTAGTTGAAAAATTAAATCAAACTTTATATACTTCACTATCAAAGTATATTAACTTTACAAAAAAAATTAGGATTATTATTTATCTTTAATTCTATCTGCTTATAAAATAATAAAATAAAGTATAACTTTATTTGAATCTTTTTAACTGATATATGATTGATAAGTAGTCATATCACTAAATATTAAATTAAAAGATTTTGATAGTCTTGCTTTTGAAGAAGCTCTTGTTAAAAAAATATATGAACTAATTGACAAACTAAAAACTATATGAGAACTAGTTCTTAGTAATATTTAAGAAGAATAGTCAAAATAAAAAGAATAGTATAACAAGAAATAAAAGTTAATAGTTTTTCAAATAGAATAGAAAGTATTGATGAAATAAATAGAAACTCAATATTAGTATTATGATAAGTTTAATAAAAAATAAAAAGAATTATTTTATATTCATAAAGCTTATAATAAAAGAGCCTATAAAAATAAAAATGAAAAAGTCTTGAAGAATTCATATAATAATAACTATTTGAAGTTATATATCAAGTTTAACAATTTGGAACCAGTAATTATCATTAATAATAATTGAAAGATTTATAAAGTAAATCTCTTAAAGTCAAAGATCCTATAACCAATCATCTATTCATATAATGTAGTAGATACAGTGTAATATATAGTACAGTCATAGCATATGATATAGTAATTACTAATTATTACTAAATTAAGTATATAAAAAATTTATATTAATTATTATTAATTTTATTTTTAATTTATCTTATTACCTATATTTAGTCTTATTTTTTTATTAATTTAGTCATATATATCATACCTAATTTATAATTTTATTAAATTAATAATTTTCTAATTAATTATTATTAGTTTTTCTTTCTTTTCTCACTTTAACTTTGAATATCTTAATATTTTGTTAATTTTAATTCTTAATTACTATGTATTTAATATTCTTTATGATTATTCTTTTGAAATTTTACTTATTTTTGAGTAAATTAAATAGAATATTATATTAGAAATAATTTGTAATTAGTGTAATAAGAAAATATTATATATAAAAAGTCAAGAAATAATCAAGAAGAATAATTAAGTTAAGTAGAAAGAATTAATTACTAAGTTAAAAATAATTAATTAATATTTTTCTTTTAATAAATATATATATTTTATCATATATCTTATCTTATTTTCTTCTTGCTTTATTAAGAAAGCATTTTATTAGAAATAAAACTTATATATATTATCTTATTGAAAAGATAATTGATTGTATAATCTTTTAAAGTTATAAAAGTAAATAATTACTATAAATACAATTATTCTTACTATTTTAAAATATTTATATACATATAAACTTAAAATAATAATAATATTCTTAGTAAAAATATATATTTTTGATAGTTTAAAAATTATACTTATCTTTTAAATCAATACTTATACTAAAAAGATAATAATATTTATAATTATCAATTATTTTTTATTATAAGAGATATAAATATATTTTAGTATTTTTAATAATTTTTGATAATTTTTTATAATTATAAAAAGAATAAAATATATAATTATAGAATATTATTAGATTAGTACTTATTATTTATTATTAGAAATTATTAAATAAATTAATTAATCTCAAGAGATAATTAAAAATACATAAAGAAAAATAATTGATAAATATAATACTTTAACTTGTAGAATATATAAAATTTGAAAAAGATATATTAAAAAATATTCTTGCATAAATAGTAAGTAATATATAATATTATTTCTTCTAAAATAATATTTAAAAATAATATTTCAGATAAGAAATCAAAAAAAAATCAGAATCTGATTCTAAATCTATTTAAATATTTAATTCAGTTAATATTATTAGATCTAAAGCTGATTTTTTAACTAATAAAGCAGATATAACTAATATTTTAATAAAAAAATAGATAAAATAGATAATTTATAAGCTAGACTTATATAAAATTACAGAGAAAGAGAAAAAGTAAAATATGAAATAAAAAGAATCTTAAATTTTAATTAATCTATTTTTATTTTTTCTAAAGTAATTTATAGATCTGAAAGATCATTGCTTAATAATAATCTATATATTATTTTAATATTAGACTTAATTTTATAAACTTATAATTTTTTATAAAGCCTAATTAATTTAATATTAGATTTTATATAGTGATTTTTCTAACTTCTTATAACTCATATATTTTTTTAAAATCAAATTATCAAAATCTAAATTAAAATTTATTAAAATATATTATTTCTTAAATAAAATATTATTATCTTTATTCTATCTATCTTTTAATAAAGTTAATCAAATATTAAAAACTTATCATTCTAAGATATAATAATATAATTTATTTTAAGTTTATTCTTAATTTTATATATAATAATTAAAATAATAAAATTTTTTCTATTTTTATTTTATTATTACTTTAATCTACAAATATATTTATATTTCTTGAGAAATAGATTTGAAAATATTAATGTTAGTTTAGAAACTTAAATAATTATAAAATTTTTATATATAATAAAATCTAAAAAAAATATTATTAATAAATTATAAGTAATATTGATAGATTCTACTAAAATATTACTAAAATCATATTTTTTTTATTTATCTATTTTCTCATTTATATATTTAATAATATCTTCTGATATAATTATAAATTCAAATTCATTATCAAATACTAATACTAGAATTTTTAAATATTTAATTTTAATTAGTATAGTTATAATACTTGTGTTAGATTCTTTCTGATAAATAAAGTTTATCTTCATAGGATTATCTAACATCTTCTCTTTCTCTTCTGAATTAGATATTGCTAGAACTGGATCTTAATAATTTATAAAATTAGATTCTTTGATAAATGAAGATATATTAAATAAGTTTTTAATCTTTGTTTTAAATTTCTCTATTTAATCTATAGAATATCATCAAGCATACTTAATATAATCTTTTGAAGAAACTTATTAATAATAATTGATTTATTTTAGAACTTATTAAAAGTGAAAGTTTTTTATTTTTTTCTTGCAAGATTTGAATTCTTTTTTAATTTCTTAAACTTTACTTTTTTTTTACTTTGATATCATTATTAATAATTTTTGAGATTTTGATCTCAGTTAAGTTATTTTCAGAATCAGATTTCAATTCAAAACCAGAACTAAATCCTATTTTAGAATTAAATACAGAATTACTACCAGAAGAATTATAACAATCTTTTTTCCCAAAGAGTCTGCTCTAACATAAAAAGATCGTGGTTTTTTGTGACCAATTTCCAATCTTCCGCACCATCAGGCCATTTAATAGTTTTACGATTCATAAAGGGAGAATAACATGCAGAACCAACCTTTCCTGACCATTCAAAATCGATCAATTTCACATCAAATTCGTTACCTCCAAGTCGATGAACCATAATATTCCCTTCACGCAAGTCTCCGTGAACGTATCCTAAATTATGCAAATGTTCGACTACCCCTTTTATTTTTTTTCCCAAAGAACTTCGTTCTTGATCATCAAGGTTAGAAGTAATGTGATTTAGTATTGAATGATTATTCAGGCATTCCATATAAATCAAAATCCAATTTCCGGGAATTACTGAAGTGGTAAAGACTTTTGGCGCGTATCCAACTTTAGCTAAGAGCTCATGTGTATCAAGTGAATATCGATGTTTTTGAACAGCTTTCACATAGGCTGTAATATGAGGCCCTTGTTCATTTAAAAGTGTAACTTCCCAAAGAAGATTTGTGCTGACTTGGAAATTAATCTGAACCATGTAAGATTTATCGTCTATAATCACTTCCGGAAATGAAGGATGTACGGGATGGCCAGTTTGAGGTTCGTCTTGGATTAATTTATCAACATTAGCATAATATCGATCGAGAAGTTGGAGAGATATCTTCAAAGCACGAAATGTTTTGGCAATTGATACCATCATCGCTTCGTCATATTTTTGCCAAATAAGAGGAAAGACTGGGGTGAGCGGGTCAATTATAGCAACATCTGCAAACACAGCGCCGGAAACAGAAAAGTAAGGTCCTAAAAAAGTAAAGTTAGTCACATATTCTGAAAAAAAATTTAAAGTAACCTTTCTAACATACCAGAAATTATGATTAAAAAGCATGGAAAATTAGTCACATGGTAGGTGGGATGATTTTCTTTTTCTCCGCAAAAAGCTAGAAAATATCCACAATTTTCAAGATAAGGACAGGCATTGGAGCTACAGTTATACTTTTTGTATTTTACATTAGCCTCGTGATATACATTCGAACCTTGAATATAACACATAGTACCATCAGTACGGTGATTATTTTCAGTCACAATTGGTTGTACAGGGCGTTTAAGATATTTAGATAGCATATCGTTTGCCTTATTTTGACGCTCCGATTCGTAATTATAACATTTTGCCATTTCGAAACAAAAATCATGAGCGAAAAGGTTGTCTTCACTTTCTGAAAATTCATCACATAAATCCTTAAATTTTCCAAAAATAGAACAAAGCAAGCTAATAGGTATGGAGCTAGAAGCTGTTGGTGGACAGTGGTTAAGACAAATAGCATCAACAGCAGTAGTTTTCTGTCGTTTGTACCATTCCTCAGGTTCCCCAAGTTTTGATGGTGCTGGTAAGGAATTTAGCATATCAAAGTACGATCTTTTAACTGTAGGAAGAGATTGCATTAGTTCAGTTTATTTATGATTTACAAATAACTAAATATTATACCTTTCTTTTTTCCTGAAATTATAATTGGATTATTAAACGAACATTTATGTTTTTCGATAAAATCGATAAAGACACTTTTAGACCAGCTAAGATCTATGAGCTTATCGCTAATAGAAAACTTATAAGCAGTCAACGAGCCCTTGAGATCGAAGGCTTTTTCTAAATGAGCATATAATTGTATAAAATTCTTCCAATCTTCGGAACTAAGACTTATTATTTCTGAATCATAGTATCGAAAGTATATAGGAACTTAAAATGAAATTATTATATTAATCGTAAATGATATGAGAACATAGTAATAAATTTTTTAAGATATTCGTAATACTTACCTTCCTCTTTAACCTTAGACGCCTGTAATATTGCTAGCCTTTCTCTCAATTCTTGCACCTTCTGATTTAATGCAGTCGTAGCTATTTAACAAGAACAAACGTATGAGGCACAAGTTAATAAATGAAATTATTGCGGAGAAAGCAGTATAGGTTTGGAATATTCGAATGCAGCGTGGTACTACATACCCTGGTCATCGCCCTTAATTTTTTCGATCAATCCCGAGATTTTTTCAGATGGCCCTCCTTTTAAACCATAATTCATGAGCTTATCCGCATTCAACCTGAGGAAGGCTGAGCCATCAATTTCTTGTTCACGAAGAATATTGAAATGCTTATCCTCAAGTCCTATATCTTGGTCGCGTAAAAAATTTATCAGATCCTCCGTTGTCTTATATCCTTCAACTTCATTGATTGTAGGAAGTGAAATTGTTTTTCCAGTAGAAGTAGACATATTCACGAATTTAATTTTTGGATAGGACGAAAAATTTTTTTTAGTAATAGTCGTACATTCTACTTTTTATAGTTTAAACCATATTTTAGTTGAAAGTTTAATAAATCACAAAGTCGAGGCCATGATCCAACTGTGGAAATTTTGATTATGGAATGAATTGTTATTTGAAAATAAGTTTGCTGTAAAGCAGAATTTATTATAACAAATATCTTGAACAATTTCTCATTATATAAAAAATAAAACTTATCATTATGCCTGAAGAGATGTGTAAGATTTTATCAAATTGCTAATTCTGATCTATTTGAGATTCTCTTTAGAAAATTTTTACACTCAATTTGTCTATATATTTCATCCATTACTTTTTTATATGCTTTGCAATATAGATGTAAATGATAATTACATTCATCATAAACCTTACATTCATACTTTCATTCTTCAAAAATATAAGTAATTTTGATCTTTTTTATTCATAAGTGTATTATTATAATTTTTCATCATGTTATATTAACAAAAAAAAAGTTTTTTATTATTAATTCATAATGTATGACACATTATGCTTATATCTCATCTTATCTTTATAAATAAATTATGTATAATAATAATAAGCCTCATAAAATTAAATATTTATATTATTACACAATTTTTATAGTATAAAATAATATAAGATATCCAATTTACTATATGAAATACTAAATTTTAATCCTAATTCTAGTATTATATAATGATATACTCAGTTATATAATAATCCTAATTCTAGTATTATATAATGATATACTCAGTTATATAATTAATGATAAATTAATACTGATTGATTAGTATTTAATTAACAATTAATAATAATTTATTAGTTAGTTTATAATAAGACTAGCAAAAGTTAAATTATCATGCTATTTAATTAATATCTGCTAGTTTATATATACATGTAGATAAGAATATTTTTCATAATAAAATAAGAATAATCATATCAAAAAATAAGAATATTCATTATTATAATACATATTTTTAATATTTATTGATTAAACTATAGTAAAATAATAAATAATTATCTTTTACTTTTCATTTTTGCAAAATAAAATTCTGCTTTCTCTTTATTTTTCTTATATTTTTTTCTCTTTATTAATTTAATAATTTATTAATCTTATTAATTGATCTATATTTTTTATATTTTCTAATTATATATTTTATTATTTTTTCAGTTAAATTGCAATAATAAGCATTTATTTATCTAAATAATAGTTTAGCAAAAGAATAAATTCTCTTTACATAAATAAAATCAAATACTTAAAAGATCATTTCTCTGATTTTTAATGATAAGTATTCATAATAAAATCAAATATACTTTTTAATTATTTTTCAATATATCTTAATATAATTAAATCCAGAATAAAACTTAAAGTAGAATATAATCTAAGAATAAATAATATTATTAAGATTAGACTAAAATAACTAAAGATAATAAAATTATTTTATATTTACAAAATTTGATTTCTTGTTAAATTTGATTATATTATACAAAAAAATTTGACTAATTAACTATTAAATAATACGTATAAAAATTAATGATATTAGAAGCTATCTCTTTTTTTTATATAAAATATACTTTAGTATTATTTTCTCTTATTATAATTCTTTTTTATTAAGAATTTACTGGATTTTTTAAGATTGATCATACAAGTTAATATTGAATTTTATCTTTTATTATAAATAAAATAATTTTCTTTAATAATTATTGATTAATAGCTATTACTCTATATTATATCTTATATTTTTAGAGCTAATTCTTCTGAAATAAGATTTATTTTCAAAATTATAAGAATATTTTTAGTAAAAACTATATAAAAAATAGTATTATCAAAGATAAATATATTCATATTTCTCAAATATATTTATTTAAAGATATTTATCATTTATATAACTTATTTAAAAAGTTTTCTAAAATTTCAAAATTTATCTTAAATAATATTAAGTATTATTATTATATATATCTCTTTTTATTTATCTTTAAGTAATTCTATTATTTCTATTAAAAAATTACTTATATCTATATTAAAATCTAATTTTTTTATAATAACTATTCTTTTTTAAAATTTCATATAATATATAATTTGTTATAAATAGAGATAATATCTCAATTAATTATAATTTTTGATAATTAATCAGAGAATTATAATTTAATTATAATAGCTAATCAGAAAATTATGACTAAGTATAACTAATTATAATATTATCTTTAGTTATAAATATAGAAAATTGATTTATTATAAATTATTTATATATTTTTTCTTATTATTATTTAAATACAAAAAAATTCTTATCTTATAATTTTTATCAAGTTATTTAAATATAAATTGATTAAGTTTAATAATCTCTTAAAGAAAAATTTAATAATAAATAATAATATTGGATTATTTATATTCATCTATATAAATATTTTTTAAAAATATTTATATTAAAAATCAAGTTTATATATTTATTAATAAGCAATTTGAATTAAGATATATTAAACAGATTTAATATTTAACTAAAGAAAGATATACTATTCAAAATATTTCTTAACTATTATTAAATTTATCTTGAATTTTTGAATCTATAAATAAGTGATTAATTAGAGAGAAATTAGCTTATCATAAAATAAACTTTTAAAAAAAAATCTCTTTTGAATGATTAGCTAGATTAATTTCTCTTTTATATAAATATTTATCTACTTTCTTATAAACTTATCATTAATTATCTCTAAAATTATTTTTATTATCTTAATTTTCTTTTTGTTATTAAGTTATAATTAGAAAAAATAAATAATTATTATATAATAAGCAATTTGAGTTTTAGAAAATATTTTATTAAGTATTATTTTATTTATAAATTTAATCATCTTATATATATTTTTATTTTCAGTTAATTAACTCTAATTTAATATTATTATCACTTCTAATATCTTTATTAGTAATATAAAAGAATTATAAAATTTTTGAACTTTTTACTATTACTTTTCTTAATTTTTTATTTTTTTTTTTGCTATATTTATTTCAAATTATTAATATAAATAGCTAGATACTTTTTTTTCAAAGCTTATTACTATTACTATAAGAATTTAATTAATTATAGAATTCTTATTTATCTTAATATTATCTAGCTTATTATTATTCTTTTAGAAATTATCTTTAAGATTATTATTTTCAGAATTAATATTTTTATATTTTTTGCTTAAGCCAAAATCAATAAGATTTTTAGAAGAGAAAATATTTAGAGAAGTAATAATATAAAAGTATTTTTAAGATTAATAAGATTTTTAGAAAAGAAAATATCTAAAGAAGTAATAATATAAAAGTAAGTTATAGATAGATTAATAAAAGAAAGAGAACTATAAGAAAATCAAGAATAAGAAAGAATTTCATATATATTAGTCAAGCTAAGTAAGTTATAAATACTCTTTTCTATTAATATTTTTTAAGCTTTAAAAGTCTTGACATAATAAAAAAATATTCTTAAAATAATAAAATAAATTTTTTAATAATAAAGCAATTCTCAGAATAATAACATAATCTTCTTAATATTATTATTATTTTAAATTTATATATATATAAATATTTTAAAATAGTAAGAATGACTATAATTATTTACTTTTATAATTTTTAAAATAAATATCTTCTTAATAAGATAATTTATATGAGTTTTACTTCTAACAAATACTTTCTCAATAGAGTAAGAAATAAAGATAAGATATATAATAAAATACATATATTTATTAAAGAAAAATACTAATTAATTACTCTTAACTCAGTAGTTAATTCTTTCTACCAAACTTAATTATTCTTT